TACGAGCTGCTTCGTGGAACAGTTTCGTGTTTTAGGCACGCCTATAACTTGACCACGCGTGTGCCATAGTATATCACAAGTAACACGCACCATTTACTGAATAGTGTAATGCTACATCATCGGTAACAACCACCGCGTAATAAATAGGGCCATAGCACGTCGGCAGTAACATCACCACGCACTAAAATAGTGCCACAGCACGCCACCCGTAACATCTACTGCGTGCTGAATAGAGACACCGCCACATCACCCGTAACAGCCACGCGTACTGTCGCGTGGCAGGGCGCATCAGCCGTAGCATCCCCGCACGCCGATCACGGTGTCTCGTGTACGTTACCAGTGATGTACCGTGTCTCACCGCAAGTACTGAACGCACGTACACTGAGACGCGAGCGCCAGCCATCGCCGTAAACGTGAACGCACGGATACGCTCCGACGTTTAGCGGACGACGCCGAAATAACGTCGGCAATAAATATGTGCCGGTTGCGAAGCACGGTCGTGCCTCTGAACGCGTCTACAGTCAAGCGAAGAAGGCCTCATTTCCTCTTGAAGATGAAGCTTCCTGGTTCCGGTACGGAGGCTGAGCGGCCGCGGGTCACTGCCAGCTTAAACTGCTGTATCCTCGTCGGCGATTCAGGGAGTGTTGCGTCGGCTGTAAAACGTGCGAGGTTTATAAGTGTCACAGATTCACAGCACAAGGTGAACGTTCTATAACCATGCCGCGTCAACAACACGAACCTTATCCGTCAACGACGTAAACATACGCCACACCTGTAAACAACCTGGACTTCGGCTATAAATAGCATACACCAACCTGTATACAACCTGGACCTCGGTTATAAATAGCACCAAGAGCTAATAATACCTAGGTATTATTAGCTCTTGATAGCATGATAGCATACGCCACACCTGTAAACAACGCCAGTCTCAGCTACAAACACCAGAGACTCACCTGCCAACAACACGAAACCCATCTAGTGAGTTAAGCACCCCAAATAGCAACATCATCAGTTGTAAGCGACTGTAAAGCATCGCCTAGTGCTTCCATATATGTACTTATTGACGCGTTGTTGTGACCACAGCCTTCCACAAAACCCCAAAGCACACGAGACATGTGCTGTCATGACGGATTTCAATCTTTTAGGGCAAAATATCTGCTAAGTATTGACATAAAGAAACGATGTTCTTCGGAGTGGGAGAAAAATCACGATTGAGACAAAATCCATTATAGATCTTCGTCACCACGCGTTCCAATCAATGATGACCCCCAATGATCAGATCACGCGACAAGCGTGTATGGCCTGTCTAATTTCGATATTTCGCGTTTGTGGAAGCGGGTCGAAAGATTACAATCCCGGTCTGTTAGAAGGAAAATTCTTAGGCGTGCGCCCACCCTATAACTTCTACATCTTAAAGTCTTGGTGTTTTACGAGAAAACCCATTGTAGCTCAAAGCCTACTCGGTGCGGCGTCACAGACAGTAACCTCACCACCATGCACCGCACTACACCCACTCGACTGCAAATAACACTTCATAAACATCGTACGCCGCCTCAACCTCAAT